TGGACAATATCAGTTCACACTGCAATTCTCTTAACTGAACAATTACTTTTTCCATCAGCTAAGCTGACAGTTTAATGGTTTCAGCTTCCCCAGCAAGTATGGAGATATGTTTTTTCAGAGGGAAAAAAAAAAAAACACCCTAATGAAATCAGACGTGAACTGGGTGATTGCTGTAACAGTGGACTGTCTGGTGTGAGAACCAGCTTCCTCCACAACCCCAGTAAGTGTCAAACAAACCGTTATCATGGAGGAAACAGACCACAGAGCTGGTTAGCACCTGCATGTGTGTGATAAGCAGTAGATGTGACAGTTCACAGAATGGAAAACCAAAGCTGACTTTTCATAGCCACAAACCGTTCCTGTTCATACAGGGTTTCATAAATACTCAAGAGTTTCCAAACAGTCATTATACAATTATTACATCATTTTAAGGCACCAAGTAAAACACTGTTTCAGTCTAAGCTACAAGGGTGATATTAAAGTAAATGCAAACCTTTATTGAAAGACAATTAACTTCCTAATTGACCCTCTGTAAATAAAACTCATAATACAATTGCCATTTAAAAAAAAAAAAAAAAAAACCACAAGATCTCCTTTATGACAAAAAGTACTGATTCCTTTATATTACTCTTGAGTTGGAGTGGTAATACAAGGGAGAGCGGAGATGTGATACTTAACGCCATTGGAGGGATATAATAGCGGATATAACCACCTGGAAACAAAAGTCCAGCAACAAAAGTGAGCGTGCACCCAAATGGGATACTGAAGTTGGAAGACTTCTCTATTATTCGAAGCTACTTGGTGGTGTGAACATTAATTAAAGATTGTGGATTATCATGGAGTTGCATGCCTTTTGGTGCATTAATAGGTTTATATTCCTATATGTGAATGTACTGTATATAAGCAGTTTGATTTTTTTTCACATATAAAAAGCGATTGATATTCTGTTCATATTGATTGCATGAATATGAGCACAGGTGTTTTTCATATATTATGCCAGAGGTGGGGATTGTTTTGATCATTTATATAAATAAGAAAGATTGTGTTTTTGGATGTGCAGCCAGAGAGGAGAAATGATCAGTGTAAAAAAAAAAAAAAAAAAAAAAAAAAAAAAAAAATCTTCATCACCCCCAAGTAGTACAGGGTCACTATAGTGACACTGTACTGCTAGAGTGACAGTATGTTAAAAAAAAACCAATAATATACAAAAAAAAAAATTGTAAACTTTTTTTTTAAATAATTTTTGGTTAAACTAATTTGGGTTATTTTTTTTTTTTTTTTTTACAAAAAAGATAGCTGAATACATTTTGACCAAGATTTATGAAGAAAAACACTTTTTTTTTTCAAAATGTTTGGACTTTCATTTATATAGCAAAAATATAAAAATCCCAGTGGTGAATAAATACCACCAAAATAAAGTTTTATCAGTCTAAAAAAAAAATGCTAAAAAATTCATATGGGTACAGTGTTGCATGACCGTGCAATTGTCATTCAAAGTGTGACAGCGCTGAAAGCTGAATATTGGCCTGGACAGGAAGGGGGTGAAAGTGTCCGGACTTGAAGTAGTTAAAGAGGATTTTGGAACATTCTGCTGTGGAAAAAAAAAATGACTGACATATTTGATGAATTTGGCAAAGTGCCTCACCAAAGAGGCATCCACTTTCAAAAAGGGCAAATGTGTGCAGTGTCTTTTACAGCTTTAGCGGACCAGGCTTTGACAAACAAGATTCTGTGCATTTGAACAGAAATCAGAGCCATTCTGGAGATTTATGCCATGACTTGTTCTATGGCATTCACACAAAGGAGGAAGGCAGAAGATAACGACTTTAATTGCTCAGCCAAGGTACGGTCCTGGAATACAGGATAGGGTTGGCTGTTCATTGTTCTGTGGCCGTCTCTAACACAGCTTCTGGGTCTTCTTCATTACTTTCTATGGCTACCTCTCCTATAGCAGGCATATCACGATCAGACTCCGATATGAGGGGGGTTGGGAGAAGAAGCCTGGAGTTTTTTAGGCCTGCACAGGGATGGATGTATTAAAGTCGGTAGTTGCCCGAGGAATTGTGACATAAGTGCAGAGAAGTTTGCCTTAGTTAGGCACAGGAGTGTATTTACCACAAGGCAAACAAGGCATTTGCCTAAGGCGGCATTTTTCAGGGGGGGGGGGGGGGGGGGGGGGGGGGGGGGGGGGCAGCACTGTCCCTCAGAAGAAGGGACACACATGGCTTGGGGACCTGGTGGGTTCCAAGAGAGGCTACGGGTTTCATGACGGTGTATGCACAGCCCCAATCTTGTTCCCAGGGATGTCCGGAGCTGTGAAGGCGAGTGTCTCTCTGTGGCGTATGGTGGCTGGTGCATGGGAGGCAGTGGAGTGGAAGGCTCTGCGGGTGGGAGGGGGGTGCCAATTTTTGTGTTGCCTAGGGCAGCACAAAACCTAAATACAACACTGGTTAGGCAGATTGCGTGTTGCTTGCCTGAGAGAGCTAGAATTGGATGCAGAGACCAGTGTTTGATTAGGGCGTTGCACCATTTGCAAGGGAAGCATTGTCACTGAGCATTTGGCAAACCTTCAAGAGGTCTTCAGGGTCTGGGTTCCATAGGGATGGACCACGCTGCTGTTAACTACACATGTTGCACCAAGTGCCATGCAGGATCCAGTATCTGAAGCCACATTACTGTCCTTCCTCACGGCATGAGGTCCAGGTACAGCTAACAAGGTTTTACCAAGGAAAGCTCATACAGAGGTACGGACTAAAAGCCCACACTGCACCTGTGAAATACAGATCATGGATGCAATGCTTTGCAGGCTACTGCAGGAAAAAATAATAAATGTACATCTTTTCTGCAAAAATATGTGCATTTATTATTTTTTTCTGTAAAAGGTGAACTTAGCCTTTAAAGTGGTTGTAAATGCTTAAGATTTTTTTACTTTCATTCTATGCATGGTGCTACTGGCCCCCCTCTTGTCATGTGCCCCCACAGCAAGCAGATTGCTATGGAGGTACCCAACAGGAGGGGGGCCAGTAACACCGGTGGGGGACCCAAATACAGGAGGATCCGGGCTGCTTTGTGCAAAACCACTGCACAGAGCAGGTATGTATGTTTTTTTTAATTTAAGCCATTAGAATCACCAATTTGAAAGCTGCAAGAGTCACAGTGGCTATAGTGTACCTGAATAATGAAAAAAATAATCTGGGAAAGAAATTATCCAGAGAGAAAGAGGAAAAACCTCCACAGAAGAAGGCAGACATCTCTAAGCAAAGAGAAGAGTTTGATCACTTAAGGACATTAGAGTAGCTGGGAGTAGAAGTGTTTATATAGGGGGTAACCCTGCAGCATTCTGTTTTTTTCCAGTATCCAATAACCTGAAGGTAGCTGTATATAACCCAGTCACAGGGGATTAAAGAAATTTATGTTTTGTACTGTATGGATCAGGAAAATCAGGTATCTCACTCTGCCAGAAAGGAATGTGCTTTGTGAGAAAGCTGTGTACATATTAGGGCTGAATAGACATAAAAATCCTTTTGCAGGTGAAACAAGTCACATATATGTATTTTATCTGTGTATCTTTCTCGTCTGTTTTTGTCTGGAGTTCAGCTTTACGTGGTCCCCTGCAAGCTGAATTTGGCTATCACAGCTCAAAGCCAAACCCAACAAAAGTGAAAGCTCTTGAGCTCAATATGCTTACAGATGTGGCAATGAAGGAGGTTCAAAGGCTTACAATGACTAGTCACACACTTTTTATGCAAACATACATTTTACTTTTGGAAAAAAAGTAGTAAAGTAAATAAATGAATTTCCAGTGCATGTTTCTGCTTTATACAAAAAATACTATATGTGAAAAACAGAACAAAGTGGTTATTATAACAGCATGGTTGACACAACAGTGGTTTTCTCAGACTCTGTCACACAGAATAGACCCAAACATCATTATAGTGGCATACAGACAGTGGAGAGAGACATTACTGTACTAAAAAGTATCTCATAACAGAAGTCCTTAAAACAACATGGATACATGGCAAAAATGTTTAGTTACTCTTCAAGGGTGCTGGACAAGGTGGTCAGGCAACTGTGGTCCTCTAGTAGTTTGGTAATTGCAAGCCCCAGCAAGTCGTAAGATGAAAGGTTCAAATTACAGTTTGTCAGCCAATGATAATTTGTTAGCCAGAGGTACCTAAACCCACCTGTTAAAATGGCTGTAGGTCATCATCTTTGCCCTCAGACTCCACACTTTTTCAAGCTACCTATACTGCCAACTACCAGAGTGCTCTGGGCCTATAATTCCACAAGGTTGGCCAAACCTTTATTAATAGGACTATAAACCTGTGTGAGAAGACTCCAAGAAACAGCAATCCTCGAACTCCCAGAGCCTGCATACCTGCTCCAGGCCGTGTCGCTTTGAAAAGGTTCAACTTCATTTTCCTGGGTATGAGGTAAGTCCAGAGACAGCCGCTTCCACTGCAGCCTTCATACACAGTTGTTCTGCTTTGGAACAGGTTCCATTTAGATTTTTATAAAGATTTAATACACTCCCCATGTTTCAATCTGCCCCCATAGCAATGAAGCCCTTGCAAAACATGACCCCATGAGCACCTCTGTTTTGAAATCTGAAATTGCTGGAAGATTGAAAATGATATTCAAACTGCTAGGGGCAACAACAAACTTTCCTCTAAAACAAAGAAAATCAAAAGAACCCACTACATACAGAGGTGCTGTATAATTAGGGGGTACAGCAGAAATATAGGACTCCTAAACTGCTGTTGATAAGAAGGCACAGCCAAGCTACACTGTCATGTCTTCTGCTGTTGAAGCTCAATACTGTAAACCTTATTGTCTTGTCCAAAATGAATGACTGGAAAAGGGCAACAGAGGGAGCTGTGAGTTTCCTGTACTGGACTCTACCCATCCAACGTGTACTCCTGAAAGGATGTGTGGCTTTCCCTTCCGTGAAGATGCTTCCTGTGAGAGTCTCTTGTAGTCAGCTTGGTTCCTCATACTTGCTATAGTAGCAAAGGTGTCCGCTCACCTAGAGGCTGCTCCTTGCGGAAGAGATCCCTGAATCTAGCCAGGCTGGCCAGAAATCGTTCCTTGAGCGGAGGTGTATGGTAGATGGGATCTAGGATGTTTGTTATTCGCCTCTCTCTGTCCCTCTTCCATATCTTATAGGGAGTGGGTGGGAAATGTGGCTTTTCATGCTCTCTGTAAAACTGGGTCACTGCTCCGCTAAGCACAAGGGCTGCCCACACAGCAATGATGATGAAATCTGTTGAATGCAAGAGGCTGTTAGTGAGAACCATAACCCCAAACCCTCTACTTGATCAATACTCACTTTTGTATGAACATTGCTAGAATTTCACAAATCATAAAAAGGATAAATGGATTTCGCAACAGAAGGTGAAGTTTATTCGGCTTTTAATTTTGCATTCCCCATTTCCTCCTGTTTTTAATACATGCCTTATTTTTTGCCCCATGATATAATGTGCTTCTCTATTCATTGCAAGTAAATCATGGCTGGTAGCAAGCATCAACAAGGTGTTTGTACATAACTTCCTGAAAACTTCACATCATCTCATAGCTGCCTCAGTACACTTCTCAAGAACCCTCCATTATGACGTAAGCAGTGGACTGGCTCTTGGGGGGAGTTCTGTAAATATCAGACCACAGGCAGGCACTATATTTGCATGCAGATCTCCCAGGATAATGCCTTCTAGGATAAAGAGGGACTTCAGGTGATGTGGCGCAATTTCAAGGTTGCATTCAGTGTGAACCAGGGCTAACTCTTCCACAAACACAACTTTAAGCTGACCATATACAGTACAGATCTAACAATGGAAAAAAAAAAAAAAAAAATTACATTGTCTGCAGATTCAATCAAATGCAGAGAATCATCAGTTGTTCTTACCGGTGGTCTGGAAAGGCACGCTGGTGTATACTATACTGAAGTCACTGTTCAGTGCCCTTTTAAGGATATTTAAGGTAATGTAGCTGAGACTTGTGTACAGGTAACTGTCTACAGCTAGCACGACTGTGTAGGAACCAACGATGCTGCAGGACAAAATGTTTAGCTAAAAGGAAAGTAAAGCCATTTAGTCCAAAATCATAGAGCAAACAGGCTATATAATTTTCACACAGTGTATACCATACTGTAAAAATACCAAACAATAGGAGTTCCAAGAAAATAACTGGATGATTAAGATTAACAGCAAATGATAATGCAAAGCCTAGGTGGGATTTTATTTAACTCTCCCTGATCCAGCGATCTTACCTCCAACAAGGTCCCATACAGCTCTTTTTCATACTGCACAAGCTGACACAGCTCCATCATTCCTTACGCAAGTCGAACTCTAAAAATGGCCAGAGGCTGACAGGAGTATGGTTTGCCATTAAGAATTAATGAAGCTGCATCACACATGCCATCTGAGAAAAGATGCTGTCTGGGACCTTGCTGGATCAGGAAGATGGGTAAGTACCCATTCCAAGTGGATTGTACAACTTTATAGATGTTTACCTTCTGGTTGGTATAGAGATCCTCAAGTGTGGTTTAACAGCTTCCTGACCGCCCTATAGCAGAAATACTGCATGAAATCACCCTACCCACGCCGCCATTCACGGCCGCAGCTGTCAATCACTCTGTTCCCAGCCGGCGATTACCTGCCGGCACCCAGTGATTACCTACAATCAACGACGAGGAGGGCCGCTTTGTTTACCAACAGCCCTCTTCCCTGTCAGCTCGCGCATACTGCTCTGGATGGCTGTGTACCTAATAGTTGGGGCTTCCCCCAATGGCTTGTAAATACCTGTCTTAGAAAGGGGAAAAGCCTGCTTGAGAAATGAGGATGTCATTCAGCTGCAGCACAGATTTGTTTTTTCTGACAGCAACAGGGTCTTGCTCTCAGAATATACATAAGTAGGTGTGTGCAGTGCTGTTGAATGAGATCTTTCATCCGCAGTTAAAAAAAAAAAAAGGAGCATATATGCCGAAGCATGGGGGCCTGGGGTGGCCAGTTGGTGGATGGCTCCTATGCTTCGGCATATATATATTTTATAATATTTTTTGGCACATTTCATATGTGCCCACCATTAGAAGTGGGTGGATGCAGGGCGGTATATTCTAATGGTGGGCATACCACACACTTTTTCTGGCAAAGATTTTTTCTCTTTTTTTCTCCCCATTCAGCCCACAGGCTGCTTAAAAAAAAAAAAAAAAAAATGAACAACATAGCATATACACCCAACAAGGGATAGCGACATAGTACATCACTGGACTTTGAATGGTTATACCAGGAAAATGCCTACAGCTGCAGGCATCATCTGGTACCATTTTTTTCAGCCAGCGATCGGCTTTCCTGTAAAAGCAATCCTAGTGGCTAATTAGCTGCAGGATTGCTTTTACAAGCAGAGGGAGACGATGCCCCCTCCCCCGCTGCCTTCCACGGCCTTCTCGGGCAGTCCCGTGCCATCAGGGTACCTAAGAATGCAGCTGGAGTTTCTGCCAGCTGACCATACAGCTGATTGGAGACCAGAATGGTGCCAATCATCTCTATAGTCATCACTTCAGTTTCCCAGGATATAAACACCATTTGTAAATTGGGAAAGCATGTGATCACACTGATCTTGATGAGATTAGATAATGTAAGGGCAGAGGAGATATCTAGAGTCTGATAGAACCCAGATGTCTCAAAAAAGAATATATGACAATGCCCATTGAAGTATATATTGCATTCCCTGTGATAGCATTAAAGTGATAAAAAAAAAAAAAAAAAAAAAAAAAAAAAGCACCCTTGTGATTGCAGACATGCTACAGGAGATGGTCAGGAGACTTTGGGCATGCTACCAGAGAAGATCCTGCAGACATGTTACAGGAGAGACAGTTAGAGTAGTCTTGCATATATGTGCTGCCCTACAGTCCACTTAAGTACTTGCACCACATTTTTCTCAACTAGATACATTATAAATGATCTGGAGGGAAAAATTTAACAGAATAAAAAGGGATGGACAGAACAGATAAATCAAGTTAGTGTTAAAGAAAGTAAGCACATACAGTGGATATGAAAAGTCTACACACCCGTTAAAATGTCAGGTTTCTGTGATGTAAAACAATGCGACAAAGATAAATGACTTCAGAACTTTTTCCACCTTTAATGTAACCAGGTCTGGGCTCTGGCTGGGCCATTCCAAAACTTTAATCTTCTTCTGGTGAAGCCATCCCTCTGTTGATTTGGATGTCTGCTTTGGGTCGTTGTCATGCTGAAAGATGAAATTCCTCTTCATGTTCAGCTTTCAAGCAGAAGCCTGAAGGTTTTGTGCCAATATTGACTGGTATTTGGTACTGTTCATAATTCCCTCTACCTTGACTAAGGCCCCAGTTCCAGCAGAAGAAAAACAGCCCCAAAGCATGGTGATGTGCAGTGTTGTTTTTGCACCAAATATATTTTTTGGAATTATGGCCAAAAAGTTCAACCTTGGTTTCATCAGACCAGAACACATTTTCCCACATGGTTTTGAGAGACTTCAAAGGTGTTTTCGCAAAATCTAGCTAGGCTTAGGTGTTATCCTATGTAAGAAAAGGCTTGCCATTCTACCCCATAGCCCAGACATATGAAGAATATGGGAGATTGTTGTCACATGTACCACACAGCCAGTACTTGCCAGATATTCCTGCAGCTCCTTTAATGTTGCTGTAGGCCTCTTGACAGCCTCCCAGACCAATTTCTTCTTGTCTTTTCATCAATTTTGGAGGGACGTCCAGTTCTTGGTAATGTCACTGTTGCACCATATTTTCTCTCACTTGATGACTGTCTTCACTGTGTTCCATGGTATATCTAATGCCTTGGAAATTCTTTGTAGCCTTCTCCTGAATTGCTCCCTTTAACAATGAGATCCCACTGATGCTTCGGAAGCTCTCTGCAGATCATGGCTTTTGCAGTAGGATGCAACTAAGAAAATTTCAGGAAGGACCTAATAGAACAGCTGAACTTTATTTGGGGTTAATCAGAGGCACTTTAAATGATGGCAGGTGTGTACTGACTCCTATTTACCATGATTGTCAATGTGATTTCTTAATTCTGAACACAGCTACATCCCCAGTTATAAGAGGATATGCACACTTATGCAACTGCATTATTTTAGTTTTTTTATGTTTACTTCCCCCCCTAAAAGATTTCAGTCTGTTTTTCAATTGAGTTTTACAGTTTATAGGTCACAGTAAAGGTGGTAAAAAGTTCTGTAATGATTTATCTTTGTCTAAATTTTTTACATCACAGAAACCTGACATTGTAAACAGGGCTGTGTAGACTTTTTATATCCACTGTACAGGGGCCACACAGCTAACACCAGGGCCTTACACAATGACCCAAGCATAGGTCATAGGGAAAGAAAAAAAAGAAAAAGTTATGTGTAACTAAGGAGATGAATACTTACTATTCGTGGAAAAGGCAGCAGACACATTGTCACCAGTAGTGCAATACAAGTGAAGGTTAGCCAGAACACTGTGTCATTGCGAAAAGTGCTAAAATCCCCTGCAAGAAAGAACAATGAACTCACATTACACACACTTAACCTCTATATAATAAAACAAAAACAAAAAAAAAAACAAAAAAAAAACACAAAAATAATAATCATAGGAAACTGTGTTTCCCATAGCAATAAAATTTTAAGTTTACAGTGACATTGTTTGCATTAAGGTAAAAACACGTTTGGCAAGTAGTGTCCCCCACTCTGGCCCCCCAAATGCTTACCTGAACCCGATGGTTTAGGAGCAAGCATGCACAAGTGCCCCAATAGCAAGCAGCTTGCTATGGGGTACTCTGTGAAGGGAGGGGCCAGGAGACCTGACAAGAGACCTCAGAAGAGGAAGATCAGGGCTCTTCTGTGCAAAACCATTGCACAGAGCAGGCAAGTATGTTTTTTATTTAAAATAAATAAATAAAAATATGAGCCTTCAGAAATCACTATAATAATGCTGTGCCCCTATTGGGCATACTATATTTTACTCCTTTGATTCAGGCTCAGTTTATAGCAGGAACGTTTATCTCCAAAGGTCATGAAACTGAATTCTATCAAATAGCTGTCTGACATTTTAAAGCTACCATGCATATGGCCCTTTCTCAAACACTACATAAAAGCAGTCTTTGGATTCTGATTTTGAAACACTAATAGTTAGAACTTGTACCTCTGCTTCTCAGCCTGCTGAGGGCACAGTCACTTGCATCAGAGTCTTCTCAACATTAAAATGATTTTTTATTAAACACAGGATAAGCACACATGAATGTTGGAACTGAAAATGGGAACTGAAAGATGAGCTGAACCTTCCCAGATATTAGGAGGGGCTTTCCCAAGAACAGAATTGACTTACAATGGGTCACATCATTTTAAGCAGTGCAATACTGTACTGTACCTATAGGAGTGAAGAAGATGATGGAAGAAACCAGAAATCCTAAAACCAGCCCCACCAGGAGCATACAGATGTAGACAAAGCCAAATCTCCACCAATACCCCACCAGCAGCAAACCCCCGATAACTCCGGTGAAGGCAGTCAAAGCCAGGCGATCTGTTAGGGGAAAAAAGCCACACACATCATCAGCTCATACTTCTCCAAATGAAATACAATGACCCAGTCCAAGTAGTACAGATACAACACACAGTCTGCTTCCAGAACAATGTCTGAACAAAACACTTACCACTGTAGCCAAGGGGTGTGACTCTGGTAAGAAGAACAAACATGAGGAACCCAAAAATGATAAAACCAATAAAGAAGAAACCTGGGAAGATAAAACAAAATCGGTGTGTCACACTAAATTCTCATTTAGCCTATTATGGTAAAAAAAAAAAAAAAAAAAAAAAAAAAAAAAAAAAAGAAGAACTGGACACTAACCTGTCTTGAGAAAACGGTGCCCGAGAAAACAGATAAATAGGCCCACGATGGCGAAGATGGTGAAGAATATTTTCGTTGAGACTTTTCCTTGAAAAGAATAAAAGCGAAGGTGCAAAGTTCAAAAAGAGTTGATAGCAAGACCACAGCAACAACACTTTGCACCCAATTGTGTCTCAAAGATCAGACACCGTGAGGCACTATATAATTTAAAAAACAGTCCTTATGTGCCCAAGTATGCATATATTATAATCAAAGCATGGCAGTGATTAGCAAATTTTGCGTGCCACTGGCTTCCCTTATCAGCTTAACATCTAAGGGGAGGTCACAGTCTCTCCTCAAGAAAACTTGATTAGGTCTGCCCTTTCCGCCTAACTGTTCCATTTAAGGAAGCAGTACTACAGCTTCTGAGTGAAACAGGATCTAAGAATGGAGGATTGGTGGGTGACTGACAGGTTCACACCTTTTATTCTTGGATCCTGTTTAATTCATAGAAGCTGTAGTATGGATTTTATGAATGGAGCAGCTAGGCAGAAAGGGTGGGCATAGTTGGGATCTCTTAATGAGAACCTGTGACAACCCCCTAGCTGTATTAATCCCCGCCGTAACAGAAGATTACAAAGGTGGGAGTGGAGGGGGGTGGGATGGGAGGAGGAAAAGGGTTGCATCCTACTGAAATTAGGTAAGATCCCTTGTGCTGATTATTTTTTAAAACTTAATTTAGGCCACATTCACACGGGCATACTTAGGCGAGGGCCGTGTTTTTCCACACGGAGATGCCCAGGTGTTCCATGCATTCCAGTGCAGGCAGTTCCATTCATGTCAATTGGGATGCAGCAACTGCACATACAGAGCCACTGCTCTCAATCTGAGATCTACAGCCCTGGCCAAAAGTTTTGAGAATGACACTAATATTAATTTATCTGCAACATTGGCAGTAATTATTGCTTTGCACAAAAAGGGATTTACAGGCAAGGATATTGCTGCTAAGATTGCACCTAAATCAACCATTTATCGGATCATCAAGAACTTCAAGGAGAGAGGTTCAATTGTTGTGAAGAAGGCGTCCAAGAAAGTCCAGCAAGCGCCAGGACCGTCTCCTAAAGTTGATTCAGCTGTGGGTTCGGGGCACCACCAAGTGCAGAGCTTGCTCAGGAAAGGCAGCAGCCAGGTGTGAGTGCATCTTGCACAGTGAGGCAAAGACTTTTGGAGGATGGCCTGATGTCAAGAAGGGCAGTAAAGAAGCCATTTCTCTCCAGGAAAAACATCAGGAACAGACTGATATTCTGCAAAAGGTACAGGGATTGGACTGCTGAGGACTGGAGTAAAGTAATGTTCTCTGATGAAAATTGACTTTCCAATTGTTTGGGGCATCCGGAAAAAACCTTGTCCAGAGAAAAAAAAAAAAGGTGAGTGCTACCATCAGTCCTGTGTCATGCCAACAGTAAAGCATCCTGAGACCATTCATGTGTGGGGTTGCTTCTCAGCTAAGGGAGTGGGCTCACTCACAAATTTGCCTAAGAACACAGCCATGAATAAAGAATGGTACAAAAACATCCTTCGATTGCAACTTCTCCCAACCATCCAGGAACAGTTTGGTGACGAATGCCTTTTCCAATATGATGGAGCACCTTGCCATAAGGCAAAATGATAACTAAGTGACTTCAAACATTTGGGTCCATGGCCAGGAAACTCCCCAGATCAAAACACAAATTCCGACAAACTTCAAGCATTGATTATGCAAGACTAGGCTGCCATCAGTCAGTATGTGGCCCAGAAGTTCATTGACAGCATGGCAGGGTGAATTGCAGGTCTTGAAAAAGAAGAGTCAACCCTGCAAATATTGACTCTCTGCATAAACTTAATGTAATTTTCAATAAAAGCCTTTGACACTTATGAGATGCTTGTAATTGCACTTCAGTATACCATAGCAACATCTGACAAAAACATCTAAAAACACTGAAGCGGCAGACTTTGTGAAAATTATTTTTCTCAAAACTTTTGGCCAGGACTGTTAATGGATGCAAATCTTTTGCAAAACAGTTGCCCATACTAATAAATAAAGGAACTCCATCAGCTCTTACAAGCACTCCCCAGTGTACATATACCAGATAAGCAATGTGACCCTACCCAACGTGTAGCAGTTGTCCATGGTTGCTGTGAAGTTACAGGCATACGTGTGAACCGGCACATAGGTTGCAGATGTGTTCAGGAAGGGATCTCGTACAATCACATTGTATACGATTCCTTGCCCAGGAATAGATGAGAAGGACATGGTGGTTCGGTCGCTGGATTTTAATGTAGTAAGCTGCCAAGACAAGACCTTTCATTAGATGTTAGTCTTAACAGCACATATTAATGTAAATTTTAAACGGTGAGTCCATGCACTTTCCAAGACTAATAAAACTGGCAGAAATCACTGACCAGAACCAAAAACTGACAAGTTGTCTATCCAGTGACAAAAAAAAAAAGCAAAAATGAAAAAAATACCAATGGAAGCATTATGGTATATTTGTTCTATAAGTGCCAGAAATGTTATCAGCTGACAACTTCCTGTGCACTCTGCTACACTGTTACCAGCTGCACTGTTCCCAGTGCCCTCTGACTACAGAAACCCTCCACCCTATGTATTGGAGTTTAGAAGTGCAGATCAGAAGAGCAGCCTAGGGTGACAACACTGTTCCTACATAGATAAAGTACAGTGAGCGATAATAGTCACCTGGGACAGAAAGTGCACTACTAGCAGAATCACCAGGTGAAAAGATCATAAAAAAAATCTATAGAAAAGCCAAATAAAAAAAAAAAAAAAAAACACCACACTAATCCAGCCCCTGCATCTAAGGATTGGTATGTTGCAGGACCCATGACCCCAGCAACACAATAGCCACAGTTCCTAATCTTTGATTACCTTCTTGCCATTAGTGGAAACTTGGGATACAGTGGACATCCTCTGCAGATGGGTTATTAAGGTGGACCCATTGAGGTTGTTCTCTGGTAAGAAGTATTGGTAGATGTCATATTGCAGGCGCCATCTGGTGTTCTGACCTGTCTGAGTATCACAATCACCAGTGGTGGCATCCCTGAAGAAAAAGGGAAGACTTACAGATCTCATATCAACAGAACATAAAGCGAATTCCATCTAGAGCTACATTTTCCAAGATTGCTAGGCTTTTGCCTTAAAGCCCAACTCCATATTTACTTTCACTTCCTGTACTAATTGATGTGGCCTCTGTCATCTCTGTAAGAGTATACAAACATACTATAAACAGTATACACTATGCAATGATGTGTTCAAGTAGCAGTACAGGAATTTCCCCATCTGCTGCCATAACAAAATCAAGTTAGGCTGAGTGCTGCTCAGCCATTCACAGGAAGCCTGGAATTTTTATCAATGAATGAAAATGGAGATTGTGAAGATGGAGTTATCCTTTAATCTACTTATGATGTACAACAAATGCTGCAGCTGTGCTCATGTCCAAAAATACTTAAAGTACTGTATCTGTGAACCCTCACCTTGTACAAAAAAAACAAACAAACCACAAAACACATTTAGTTTAGTAGAAATGAAGGGCACACCGCTTTTGTATATATACATATAAAAACAATTAGAAATGCCTTTTATTCTCCTTTTATAAAGTGATCATACAATCACTCCAAGAGCTGGGGGTGGAGATAAAACAAGTGCAATGATCTTCCCAGCAAATGGCTGTGCAGGGGGCAGAAGTATTGGCCATTGGAGGACCGACAAGCTGTTCTCCCAGCACAGCCAGAAAACTGATCATGCTGAGATGACGTGCTCACATAATTAGAGTGGTCAGTTTGAAAAAGGACAGTAGGAGGACTGGCAGGATCACCAGGTATATCAAACAAAAGAAGCAAAACAAAAGGGAACAGGACACTTTAACTCAAGTACATGCTACAACAGATACATATCAAGAATACGAAAAGTTGGTGTAAAATATTTGTTAAAAATCTGCCCTAAAATGTATGTAACCAACAACAATGTACTTCTCTTATTTGATCCTGTAAAGTAAAAAAAAAAAAAAAAAAAAAAAAAAAAAAACAAAAAAGGGGCGCAAAAAAGTGTTTTTAATCCTTCTCATACAGCTCTGTAAGCTACAGAACCCTCCCCCCACCTCCTATGGAGATGGAGGGGAAAGGTGTTCTGTAGTCCTAGGTGTGTTCCTAGGAGGACAATGCTATTCCTCCATAGATGCAGAAGTTTGTGATTTGTAGATTACCAGGGAAAAAAAGAAAGATTAAAAAAAAAAAAAAAAAAAAAAAAATCTAATACAGCCACCACAGCTAAGAATTGGTTAGCTGTAAACATATTACATTTTGTGGGGGGGGGGGGGGGGGGGTTTGCTTGTAACCTACTGCATCCACAGGCACAAACAGCTCCACACATAGTTAAAAAGGCAGAGTGTAGTATCTGAAGCATATGCAACTTTTTTTTCATTTTAAATTTATTTTTGCATTAACCCTGTTCAGATTACACAATTTGTAATCACAGGCAGAATTGCTGAAATTCTGGACACAATTTGAAATTGCGGCAAAAAGCATGACGTGTGTTTGGGTGCAATTATTCTGCCGCAATTTTCGCATGACAGAATAACGTGGAACAAAAAAAAATGCACTAAGCTTGTTACCCAAAAAGGAGCAGGAGCTTCTTTTGGGCAAAAAATGCGCATGGGGCAGCCTACTGAAGTGAATAGGCAGCCCTATGTGTGACACGCGGAATTGTGAGACAGCAAAAAGCCTTCAATATGTTCCATTATCGAATTCTGATAATTTCCAGGACCACCTGATTACTTATGACAATCAGTACCTTTAAACAAAGACTACAATTAAACATTTTGCATTTCAAGTATCAGTGAACCCAAAACACAATAGTGGTAGGTGGAGTGCTGTTGGCTGGGCAAAACAAATCCTTTAAGCACAAAGTTAAATCATCCTTACCTTGCATGGCCCAGGTTAGCTGGAGCAAATTTTATTACAGTTTCATACAAGTTGTACTCTAGGTAGACATTCGGATCGATGTCCAAATCAAACTCCAGGTTACACGCTCCAGGAACTGGATCTGGAAACAGCAAGAGATTACACTGATGATACAAAACTGGCACAAAAGGACTACAAAGGACTACTCAACCCAATAAATGGTTAAGATTTGGGTGAGACAGATCATTTGCCAAAGTATTCTAGCTCTTAAAGATCGTGTTAATAAGATTTCCTTGCACCTGTGCTACAAGGCTTTACCAAAAGGGTCACTCTCTCATAGCTGGATTCCCACACTTATAGGGATGCACCGATACTGAGTATTTTCACAAGTACTCTTGCAAATGATCCCAATACCTGTAACCAATACTTTGTAGTGCGACTTGCGTCACTGCAAATAGCATGTGATTTGAACAGGAATGAGGTGCAATTCCTGTCCATAAGGGTATTGGTGCATCTCTAATTATTTATCTTGGTGTTGCTGCAGGCATTACATAGCCAAATGATGGTGTCACCCTTTCCCAGTTATTGAGAGTTCTGGAGCAGACACCTAACCATTGGAGAGCAAGAGATGCAAACTAAGCGGATTCACATGTTGACTTCTGCTAACAACTAAGCAACACAGAAATATCACTTTTAGATGGGGGCTAACTTTTTAGGCAAGTAGTTGTCGACTTATGAGCTAAAGGGGGCCTCAAAAGCAGCCCCCAACATCAATGGGCCACACAATTTTCGGTGTATGTGATGCTTCAGAGGACTGTCATAAACTGCAGACCTAATAGAGGAAATGATGGTCAGAGAGTGTGGACACACTACATTTTTGGCTGGGGATATGCTGCAGAAGACAACATGAAACTGGGAACAGGTTATATGAGACTAGTATCAATGCCATTACACTAACCAATGCTCCCACTACAGACTGCTGAGTTCTGAGGGCCTTACATCAAATACCAAGGGCTGCATGTGACAGGTACCTTTTTGCACAGAGTTTGAAATGCAGTAACTGATGCCCTAAACCCTCTTGCCTAACTTGAGGCCCTTTGGTACTTGCTGCGCAGCCCTCAGCAGTGGAAGTGGAATGGAAAATGGATGGTATTGGCTTTGATTTATCGAAGTCTTATGTAATGCTTCCAGTCTCTAACCATTCCCTGGAGTATGCCTCCTGTGGCATGTCTGCAATCAATGACCATTTCTTGTAGCATGTCTGCAGTCTTTGAAAGTATTCTAAGTGCTGCACAAACTGTTGGCGCTATATAAATCCTGCATAATATTAAGAATTCTGTAGCATTACACATAATGAAAAGTATGTTTGGCCCTTTGGCAGTTTCAGGGGCCACACTTGAGGCTCCTTATACTTCATACATTGGCAACCATTGCAGTACGCTGAGACCTCCTCACAATGACCCTCATCAAACTTGTGTTGCACCACGCCTTGCAAGTAATGAAGAGTATGTTCTGGCCATTTGGTTACCATGTGTCATGAGGAGGTAAATAGGGAAAGTGAAGTAGTTATTTCCACTCCTGGCAAAATACTCACCCCTTTCAGTGTATGGAACGGTGAGAACTGAGGCTAGCACAGGATCAGGGGACGCCGTCTCCACATACCAGGTACATACAGTCTGCTCAGGACGGAGAACGCTCAGAAGCCCAGTATCACTGCCGACCTCAGAGTCATTTCTCTCCGGGATCTGACAACAAGAAATATAGACATATAAGCCGGAGTGGAGAAATATTATATTTTCTGCAGAAACCTAGCACCCAGCACCAAGAGATGTCCATACCTTGGTGTAAGAGAGTGTCACATTCACATACTGACTGTGCACTTGAAAGATGATAATCGAGACATTTACGGGAATGTTCCGAAGGAGGAATTCTGTGGGAGTGGAGAGATTTAGTTGCAGTTCTGTAAACCTGCCCATCGAGACTTCCAAGAGCCCTGAAAAACAAGAAAGGCAGGATGAAACAAATGGCACATATATAAGTGATCAAGATCAGCTTAATGTGGGAATAGAAATGTTATTTTAGAGAAAAGTCAGAACCCCTATCAGCTATTATGACAAACCAAAAGCAGTGTGGAAGACTAGAACTCCTCTCTGGTTTTCACGGTTACCAGGGGCTCCATTAGGAAAAAATTTACTTTACTTTCCGTCTTATTAACAAATGTTTTACCAGAGGGAAATCTGCAACAGGGACACAAACAGAAATAAAAACCTAATATGGGTTCTAGCCTTCCCCTACTCCACCTAAACTTTTTAATGTATACATTGGCAAGTCTGCATTTGTTTAGGGACCTGACATGTTCTTCAGAATCTTCAACATTTGATGCTTACAAATGTGTTGGCTGCCTCTGTGCCCCACTGTGTGTCATGTTTCCATCATCAAACCCCTACATCACTACAGGATTTTACACTGATTCAGGGGATGGAGCATTAAACCATACCACACAATGGGCGGCACAAGCATCCAACACTCCCTTAAGGCAGGCCATACATGATGCTCAATTCCCCCATCAACAGAGTCAGTATTGATTGGGGAATCCCTCTCTCAGAGCTGTTGTGTTCTCCCGAGGTGGGGGAATCCAACTCTGTTGGCAGAACACAAGGATTACTGCTAGCGACCAATCAGCCTGCCCCTAGATGGTTCAAATGTCGGCTGGTCCCTACTGAACTGGCCAAGATTATAACCATCTATGGCCAGCTTAAGTCTCAACTGACAGACTTTTGATGGCTGCAGCACTGGAACAGAGGTAGGTTGAGGACATGGGCTGTAGAGAGGCAAGTATACTCCTCTTCAATTGCAGGGGATGCTGTTTGCATATGTTTAAAGACCTGGAAGCATCTCTATGTTTTCAAACATAAATGAATATATATACATGCAGACATTGACAGTCTCGCTTGCATATCTCTTGGTCATTGCCTAAGAACACTTTGGGCGTTTCTGATCAATAAAAAACAGCGCTTTCAAGCAGACACAGTACAGTATAGAGAACATCATTTAAAGATTGTTTAATATGCTCCATAATTATATTGCTTATATTCATCTGTGTCTGAAACAATTGTCAGTTTGAAATTTGTACTCAAACCACAGAACTTGACAGGAAGCCCAAAACTTCTCAAAAAGCTAAAATGTGACACGAAGAAGATAGGAAACAGAGATAGTCAACACTTCAGAACTCCTAAAAACAGACAATACAGTACAGATATTTTAAAGAACTTACAGATCAGAAAAGATAATTATGTATGTTTTCATTTGAAAGGAGGGGGAAGACTGAACTTTTTCAGATTTAAAAAAATGGGGCCCCATTTCCATGGCTACATGTTACCAATGTGCACACTTTGCCTGCGGTACTCACAAAAACAGGGGTAAAAGGACTTGCGGTCTCTGCAATTCAGTTTCTTCAAAAGCAGGTTCAAAAGTACCCGAGATCTACTCACACCACCCGCTGCATTACAATACAGAGGCAGCCTTGTGCCGTGATATGTTGGGATAACTGCATTGCTGATGCGCTGATTGTGGAGCATGGCAGTGTTCACTTAAAGTTTGTTAAAAAAAAAAAAAAAAAAAACCTATTGAAATGTCACACAATTACTTTTTTTTTTTTTTTTTTTAAAGTTCACGATGCAAACCGGAGGAGAACTTCACACTACACAGCGCTGAAACAAAACAAAAAAAAACACACTCCCCCCCCCTAAAACACACTGTCAGCACACCCCCACAAAGCGGTGGTGTGAACCAAGCATAGCGAAGATTAGGAATTTTGCTTTGTCTTGTGGTGGGACTGCACTAGAATGGCAGCTCAGCACAGTCCCACCACACCTGGTGTGGATGGGCCATAAATTTGACTGTGTATCAAAAAAAACAAAAAAAAAAACAAACACATTCCCAGCTCACTTACCAGCCAGACTGCATCATACTGAATTAACCCTAACAGTTCACGGTAAGATCAAGGGGTTTAGTTTGCACACATCTGAAAACATGTGTAAGCTGCAGCGGCCATGTCAAAGCACCCAAGTGTACTGCAGTCCTAACTATAATTTTGAGAGCCTCCCAAATTGGAACACATACCGTATTTTTCGCCGTATAAGACGCACCTGACCATAAGACGCACCTAGGTTTTAGAGGCAGAAAACAGGAAAAAAAAAAAAAAAATTCTGAACTAATGGACTGCAGACACAGTACAGGAGATGACCAGAGACTGCGGACAGCACAGGGATGACCAGAGACTGCGGACAGCACAGGGATGACCAGAGACTGCGGACAGCACAGGGATGACCAGAGACTGCGGACAGCACAGGGATGACCAGAGACTGCGGACAGCACAGGGATGACCAGAGACTGCGGACAGCACAGGGATGACCAGAGACTGCGGACAGCACAGGGATGACCAGAGACTGCGGACAGCACAGGGATGACCAGAGACTGCGGACAGCACAGGGATGACCAGAGACTGCGGACAGCACAGGGATGACCAGAGACTGCGGACAGCACAGGGATGACCAGAGACTGCGGACAGCACAGGGATGACCAGAGACTGCGGACAGTACATGGATGACCAGAGACTGCGGACAGCACAGGGATGACCAGAGACTGCGGACACAGTACAGGGGATGACCAGAGACTGCGGACAGCACAGGGATGACCAGAGACTGCGGACAGCACAGGGATGACCAGAGACTGCGGACAGCACATGGATGACCAGAGACTGCGGACAGCACAGGGATGACCAGAGACTGCGGACAGCACAGGGATGACCAGAGACTGCGGACAGCACAGGGATGACCAGAGACTGCGGACAGCACAGATGACTGCTGACCTTTGGGGAGGTGGGGTGCGGGTACCTGAATTTGACAGGTACCCGCTCTTACTTCCGCAGAGTTTTTGTTTGATCTTACCTGTTCCTCGATCTAGCCGCGCGCTGTCTTCCCGGCTTCTGTAATGGCGCTCGGCATGACAGCGGGGTGCCCAGTGCGCATGAGCGAGAAGCACTTGCGCTTTGTGATTGGTCCGGCGGCTTCTGGGATCTGTCATGCGTCCCAGGTACCGCCTTACCATTCACAAAAAGCACCGCTTCTTGCGCATGCGCACTTGGCACCCGGCTGTCATGCCCAGTGCCCACACTACAGAAGCCGGGAAGACAGCACGCCGCTGGATAGAGGAACAGGTAAGGTCCCGCTGCAGAGCCGAGCGGCCGGCCTGGTATTCTGACACGGCCGCGGTGGAAATACCAGACCGGCCGCTCCATATTCGCCCCATAGGACGCACTGACATTTCCCCCCCCAGTTTTGGGGAAGAAAAAGTGCGTCTTATACGGCGAAAAATACGGTATATAATATAATGGATAGATGAAGGGCAGGCATGCCTGGAGGGAGCACATCCCTCCTTAAAAAGGTACAGGGACATACTGGACACCCAGCAAGAGCACAATAGCAGCTGAAGGTATGCAGTGCTTCCCCACAATCCATGCTGTGCTGTGACTTCTGCAGCTCATGCATGTATTTACAAATGTATGCAAACGAAACCCCTTGATTTTAACGTGAACTGTTAGAAAGGGTTCATTTGGCTTGTTGCAGGCTGGCAAGTGAGCTGGGAATTTTTGTTTGTCTTTTTGGCATGCGTTGCCCTACCATGTGCTGCTTGTTGCAAAAGGCCATTTTTTTAGGTTGCGGTGGTTATTTTGTCAGCTATCAGCCTCTATTTTGTAAAAGATGAATAAAAATAATAACCAAAAAAATATAGATCCTGAGAAGAATAACTAGTAACATTATTATAATTGTCATTTTAACCAGAATGATTGCTGGTTACAGATTCACCAATCACACTCTGCACTTCCTCACCCTCAGAGCAAAGTTCAGTTGATAAAATCGAAACAGAATTCCAAGAAAGACCCAAAGCACATCGACTGCTTACACAGTAGAAGAAAAAAAGCTTTTCCTGTTCTGCAGCTACAGTCACAGGAACAGAAACACAAGATGTATGCAATGCAGCACAACAACTGAATACCAGAAATAGAAAACAGGTTTTTTTCAATCCCACTCTCTAAACTAAGAATGCTTCAGTACACAAGTCCAATCAAACAAGACTATGCTCTTTCACAGTCCAGTGAGAAGTCAGGGGACACAGAAAGCAGCAAAGCTTCAAGCTCTGAATAGTGATGTCACCCTTGTTGAAAATACAGTCTGAACAACAAAGCTGGCTGAACAGAATCAAATCTGATATGTCAGAAAAATTTGCATAACATGGGATCTGTTCTGTATTATAGAACATCTCCAAAATACGGCCGTTCCTAACCCCGGAAACTACTAAGCAACTCATTCACTCCCTTATTATATCACAACTTGACTACTTTAACTCCCTCCTCACCGCAGGCTATCCCCACTTCAGTCTATCCTGAATACTGTGGCCAGACTCATCCACCTTACTAACCGCTCCGTATCCGCCACCCCTCTCTGCCAATCCCTCCACTGGCTTCCGATTGCCCAACGGATAAAATTCAAAATGCTAACACTGACGTACAAAGCTGTTCATAATACTGCCCCAAACTACATCACCGACCTGGTATCCAAATACCACCCAAAATGTACTCTCTGCTCCTCACAAGACCTCCTACTCTCTAGTTCCCTGGTCTCCTCCTCCCATGCCCGTCTGCAGGACTTCTCCAGGGCTTCCCCCATCCTCTGGAACTCCCTACCCCAATCCATCAGACTATCACCTACTCTCCTCACCTTTAGGCACACCCTGAAAACCCATCTCTTCAGGGAAGCCTAACCCGCCCTCAGCTAACTGCCGATCTCCTCCACTCAATCCCCCACAGCCACTTCCTCCTGTACTACTATCCCCTCCCTCCTAGATTGTAAGCTCCAAGGAACAGGGCCCTCAAACCCCTCGTGAATTGTATTGTTACTGTACTATCTTGTGTACTGTCTCCCATTATAATGT